GGGGGGGGGGAGCAGTCCCAACAATGGGGCCCCCGAGGCGGCCCACTCGAAGGGCAGGAAGGGGGGAGGCGAGGGGGCAATAACTCCGAATTCAAGTGTACACATATGATTCCCGGGATCCATGATTCCCGTTGATTCCCATTGATTCCCGTCGTGATTCTCATTGATTCCCGCTGATTCCCGGTGATTCCCTGGCCGGTGTGTACACATGATTCCCAGAGTTATTGCCCCCTCGGGGGGAGGGGACTTAAAATGAAAACCCTGAAAATTTTTGTTATGAGTTCTCAATAATACTATTAAACCTAAGATTCACTGTTAAGCAGTGCCATAACGTGTTCCGAGATAAATTTGCGTTACATGATACGGCACTAAGACCAAAATCCAAAATACCAAAATACACATCCTTCCTACCTCCAAGCAGGTGCCGGGGGTGGTAAGGAACGAGTATAAATCGGTGTGAGCCTGACGCTTGAACTTATAATGAAGGTAGTGAAGTACCCCTCACGCTGCTCGGTCCTATACCTTTTCGTGGTGGGCCGTGGCGGTGGTGGCTGTCTCCTCGGAAGCTGTCCCAGAGTCCTTGCAGTCCTTGGTCCCTGCACATGGCCGGGGCGATTGAGACCGGGTCGGTAGTTGCAGCATGTCTCCACTCTTCTAAGGTGCTCCCGTAACAACGACGGTCTAACCTACAATAAGAGAGGACGGCCCGGCGTGTCACAGCGCGTTGTGTTGCTGATCCACGCGAGTAACGACGCGGGCGCGGCAGGACTGTCTCTAAAAAATCTATCTGGATAGGCAAGATGGGCACATATTTCCGAATGAATTTGATTTTAAAGGGACTTTTAGCCGTTTTGCAGCGAAACACCATACTACAGTTCACGTTCGAGAACGTATACCTTGATTTAAACGATTTAAACTGAAACCTAACCTAATCTGGGCAGATGGATTCTTCCCGAACCTCTCTGGAGTCACCCAGAGTACCAGACTCCTTAACGTCCTTAACTATGAATACAACACAAAACACCCGCAGAAGAATCCGGGGGGTCCGCATACGAAGGGTACAGAGGGTTCTCACCTCACGGCAAACAACACAAATCTTGGGTGGAAACGAACAAGCGCTGGTGGCCCGACTGACTCAACACAACAACGTCAACAGGGACGCAACAGGAACAGGCGCGTCATGCGTCTCGTCTCGTGGTGAGGGGGAGGGAAGCGGGATGGGGTGGGGGGAGGTCGGCGGAGGGCGACCGGCGAGACGACGCTCCGGGCACAAGAACCTCCGCCCCCTCCCTCATCACTCGGGACCCAAACCATTTGAAACCATCAAACCCGCTCGCGGACTTTCCCCACCCGTATCCACGATAGTACTAACTCAATCAATCTTTTAGAAATAGAAAACAGAAATGTATGCGTGAGCCGTGTAGGAAGGGGGTGGTGGTGGGGGATGGGAAAGGGGAAGGGGGTGACGACCCCGTCTTCTGGGCGACCAGACGTGATCTGACCCTGCCGTCTGATTCAGAAGATCGTTCAAGAGGGGCTCTCCTATATCTGCCCCATGAGTGCAACAAGGACGGAGCTATACGGGAGGTATAGGAAAGCCTCTCTTGAGCGATCTTCTGAATCAGACGACAGCTCCGGATTTCCCAGCGGACGCACTAGGTGGAGACAACCATCCCTATGATGTGACGGTTCTCGCGAGGCCCGTCAAAGTGAAGCGGTCGCACCGTCGTCGCGTGCGACCAGCGGGGGAGAGTCTGGTATAGTCCACCTGCGCAGCCGAGTGATCCACCCGGTGGCCTACCCAGAGCCCGTAAGGGGCTCGCCGCCGCCACGCCGCCGCCGCCGCAGGTCAGCTGGCAGGATACTCTCCGATGCGGCTTGTATAGTGTATAGTGTCAGGGGGTGGGTGGTGGCTGTCAACACCGGGCGAGCCGCCCCTCGCCCTCGCGCGATGACTACAACGCGTGTATTAGACGAGGTGCTGCTGGTGAAGTTCCGATCCGCGGGCGGCAGCAGCAGCGCGGTGCAGCGTGTAGGGAAATAAGGCGCCACGCCACAGGTGATTACATTCATAGACATGAAAATGAACGCGCACAAAGTATTGACAAATTCTTTACTTTTTTTCTTTCGATTTTGGGCACTGCACCCCGCCAATTAGAAGGGAAGGGGGCTTAACATAATCGACACGGGAAAAGAAAACCGTTCTGGGCGGAACCAGTTTCAATGGAAGAAAGGAAACAATAATACATCTGCCTGGTTGGGTACTTTATCACACCCTCACACATTTCACTGTCCCGTCCAGTCGCATGTGCGGGCGGTCCTCGTACTCGTGCAACGCGGCGACGGCCTCGGTCGAGGCCTCGGCGCACAGCGAGCAGCCCGCCGTCTCGGACACGGGGTGCCTGAAGAACATGTTCTGGTAGCCGTATATCGCGTGCAGCGGCGCGGGCAGGCGGCGCACCAGGCTCTGCAGCTCCGAAGCCATCTGCGGGGCTCGCGCGCACTCTGCGGGCAAGTGTATGGGTCAGTGTTGCCAACATTGGAGGCAAAAACTCGCCACGAATACACCTGCTAGAAGCTGGACACATCTGCGCCTGCACTGCCTACAGAGCAGTACGTCAGTCTGTACGGCTGTGTACTGTTCATGTTGGTCAGCAGGTGCAATGCAGCCCGCTCCACACAGCAGTGGAATCGTGACCTAGTTTTGGCCTACCTAGGCGAGATAACCGGCTCAGAGAGTTCTTCACCGACAAGTATGACACACAAACCTCTTGTTCTCGTTCGGAACACGGGGGACTGCCTGCACTGACAGGGAGATGTACTGCAGGATTCCAGGTCCACGACGACCACCACCTCGAGGGCGGCGACGTCGCCCGGCGCGATATTCTGGAACACGCCGGGTGGCGGCGAGCACAGGATGAGGACGCGCAGGCGGGGAAGGCCCGCCAGAGCCGCCGGCAGCTCACGCACGAACCCCTCGGGCCAGCGGCGGAGGTCTGAAAGTTGGCGAAGCGCAAGCATGCGCGTGAGGCCAGTTGTTCAGAATAATGCTACTTCAGAGAGTCGATATGGCACGTAAGCACGTCGACCTGTACAAATTTGAAACGGGGAAAGCCGCCAAACCTTGGTCGGGAAGTTCGTAGAGGGGGTAGGTCCCGTCCAGAAGGAGACACTGCAGGCTCTTCAGCCCGCCCGCCCCCAGGGCGCCCATCGGTATGGCATCCCCAGGCAGTCCGAGGCGTTCCAGGGGTCCCGGGGACCTCAAGAAGTGGTCCAGCTGGGAACAACGGGGTGTTCAGATAAACAGGATAGGTCGAATGCAGACGAGAGGGTCACGTAAGCTGGAGATCCCCTCGTCATTGAGAGGGTTCGTATCGCCTCGTGCAATTATATTTCTCGTTCTGATCCTACACACACTTTGCTGTCACTTTGGTTACCTCACTGCAGGTCTGTCTTAAGCTCTCCTCATCCCATTCAGTCTCCCAGTTGTCGAGCACCAACTCCTTCAGCCCGTGGATCTGTTGGAGTGCCGCGGCCTCACCCTCTCTCAACAGGTGGATCTCCAGCCGGCGGAGGTCGCTGGGCAACGCGCTCACGATGTGTTCGAGAAGTTTTTGTTCGCCCGAATCTATCGTCACACGGCTGAGCTGTTCGCTGCAAAAAAAAGTTAGTGGATCACACACCGGCTCGGTAATAAGGCGCAGCCAAGTGGAAAAGTGGCATGTTAAAACGATCAAAGTGGAACACCAACAAGGCCCGCCCCCACCGCGTATAACCAGTGGCTGATTCACGCCGCGGACTTTCGTAGTTATCCCTTGTAGCGCCCATGCGCATTAATGAGCATTCGTTGTGCATCAAATTCGGCAATTCGCATTAAAAGGCACAAAAAAAGATAACACATTTTTTACGTGTTTAATGTGCATTACGCGCATTAATTGCGCATTTAATGCGGCAATGTACATTTAGTGTACCTTAAATGTGTTACCTGCTGCTAGGTGCACTTCAATGCGCATTACCTAACTAGCGCGCTGCCCGGGATTATGTCCCACATAAGGGTGGCTGTTCGCACTTACATATTGGTGTACCATAACTGGCATAGATATCAGCCCCAAACGAGGGAAGGGAAGCACCACCCCAAGAGCCCAGGAGTGCATAGAAGCTAACACATTTTCGGCGCATTAAAAGAGAATTACGGCATTCAATGCGCCAAAAATGTGTTGCCTTTCTGTGTATTAAATGAAGTAAAGAGCGTAAAAAGTGCAACAGGCGATACCTGTGTGGCCGCAATAGCGAGCGCAAGCTTTCCAGGCTCTCCTCAAAATATGGCACGTAGTTGTCGACGTCGTCTGCTGCGTCCACACTCACGCAGCGGAGGCTCGGCAGCACCAACTCCTGCGGAAAGGGAGGGAAATGGTAGAGCCTAGTGCAGTCCTTAGCTCACCCGGCCTTTGGTCAGCAGTGAGCCTTAGCGTCCTCACCTGTGGCCACAGCGCGGTCGGCTCATCGTGCAGATTTAACTGTAAAAAGGTAAGGTGCTCAAGCTTCAACCAGCTGGCATCTTCCATTACTCGATAAATAACGCTCAGCCATTCAATTGCGAACGCAAGACCCTTCGCCAGCGGGGCTACTTCCCGGATGAGGCGTAAGGCATCCTCGAATGAGACCCTCCTGCTCAAGTTGACTTGCAAGGATCGAGGAGGGCAAGTGTTGTGGGTGCGGCTGTCACCGAGGCAGTCAAAGGAGAAACACCCACGACCCGCACAGAATACAAAGTCTGGTTTCGCTAAATCGTCTAAAATACACAGTCGCTCCGGAGGAGCGGCCACCCTCAACAGGTCTCTCACATCCGCGATTTTCTTGAGCCTGATCTCGCCCTGATCGCGCCACGGCAGCGTCCTGGCGAGCGCGGCCAGGCGCAGGCAGGTGCGACCGGCGGCGAACAGGTGCTTGGGGGCCAGCTGGGAGAGCACCTGCAGCAGCGGCACGTCGGGCAGGTCGAGCAGCTGCAGCTGCGGGCAGAGCGGGGGCGGTCAACGGGGAGAAACAACTTACTCGGCCATACGCGCCTCCGAG